TTAAATCAAAAACATTCATTTAATCGCGATTAAATTTATTTTATTACTCGCAATTGATTAAAATAAATAAATAACAATTTGTAATATAAAAAATGTAACATAAAAAAAATCTGTTATAGTATCAACTGTGAAGGAAAATAAGGATGCACTGAAATAATTGAATGTATTTCCTTTACATGACTTAATGCATTTCTCGTACATTGTACTATCTTGCCTGTGGTTGGAGTATGTATGCTTCATAATTTCGACCAAACTCAGGCGATTATCAAATATAAGTTTGGAATTTGCGCATATATATCGATCACTACTATTATTAATTTTCTGTGCAATTTTCATTACAAAAGTTATTGCAACTTATACTAATACTTACCTATATTACAAATGCAGTAACGTTATATTATACAAGACGATTCCGCAAAAAGAATACAAATGAATATGTAATATTCATATTATAATTTTAAATATCAAGTCTTTCTAATCAAACTCCTTTTAACAAACATGTTAATTTATCAGAGTTTTTTTGGTGTTTTATAAATTACTCGATGATTTCTATCCCGTTTAATATCCCCTAACAGTGAATGTGTGTGCGCGTATTTAGTCAAATAATATTAAAATGGATTATAATATTTCATAGATATCTGAATATCAATAATAACGTTAATGTAAGATATTAATAAAAATGGTTCTATATGTGATAAAATACGATCTTACGATTATATTTTACAATTGATTATCCACCCACGATAATTTCATTAAATAAAAAGAATTGTGCATAAATAAAAAATTGTTTAAATTATTTAATCAAGCGGTTAACCAATGTTTAATTAATTAATTAATATTATCGAATAAAATAATTATCAGAGCATAAAAATTAAAAGAAAAATAAAAAAATTATCTTTTTGTGAAATATGATTTTTAGTTGTAGCAAAATTAACTTTTAGTTTATTAATTCTATATTTTACGTATTTAAATTTAACGAATCATATTTTTAGACATATTTGAATAGTACACAACTTTTCTGAAAACGTATTATTTAACATGCTCGTATTGTGTAATAGCCGCAATTAATATTTAAAAGTAATTATATATTTTCACTGAAATGAAAAGTAATTAAAATACGTCATAAAATGATCTTATAAAAGACAATACTTTATATATAGAGCATATGTGAAACTGTAATGCAACTAGAAAGAGATGATTCCTCGTGCACAAGCAGGTTTCTCGTTTCTGAGAAAATAAGTTTAAAATTGAAGAATTAATGTATAACTTATATATATGTATATATATATATACAAATACATATAAATATATTAACAAATTATTATGTATAACAATTTTTTATGTTAAATAGATATAAGTAAGAATAAAGAGATCAATTAGAGTCAAATTAAAAAAATAATAGTATCTAATATTGCAAAGGCATTCTTCATATATATATTTTTTCTTTCTCTTTATATATATATATATATATTTTTTTTTT